AGCTCTTTAGTTCTCACTAGTTTCTCCCTGTGGAGATACACTGTCATCAAGAACCTTGTCTTCCTTTCTTTTTAATAAGATGAAACAGCCTGAGCACTCTAATATATTTATTGCAAGACGTTTTCTCTTGTCTTGTAATCCTATGTGTCTCCTCTCTTCACACCCTCCAAATGTCAAGTGCTATTTAAAATATTCCAAAATCCACCACTGCATCCAGAGATTAGCTTTTTTTTTTTTTTCCACAGCACCAGACTGACAGACTGACACAGAAGGCAGTTCTTTATGTATTCCACATATTTATTTATTTATTTATTTATTTATTTATATTTATATATATGACATTTCAGTATGTATCTATTTATCTATATATATAGATATATATAAATATATGTATGTAAAAAGACACATACATATACTTGCATCACAAGCATATAATTTGAACTCCAAGTTTTACCTTCATTTTTATTGTGGTAAATTTCCCTTCAAGGGAAATTTGAAGCACATCCTGCTCTGGTCTACATGTGGGAAACTAGTGTAATTATAATAAGAAAATTCCTCTTTCTGTTAAGTTTCATGACATTTATACAATTAGTGGTAGATAAACTCACCATCTCACTGTAACGACACTGTTATTTTCTTGATTTAGCAATTAAAATCCTATTTTTTTTTTTTGCATTTGTTGAAAAGAAATAATTAAAATCTGCTCTTGGCACTTTCCACTATACATTTAAATTTATGATTTCTATTTTTTCTACACTGATTTTTTCATTATGTATATTTTCTTAGCTCATTTTAAAGTTATTTTTGTTGGTTTGTGTTTGAAGAAATTATTTATTTGATTAGAATCTCCTGTGCAAGCATTTTCCCTTTTTCTGGTAATGTGAAATCTAAGTAGTTTTATACTTAATTTTATGTTATACCTTTGATTTTCAAGATCTAGATCTCCTCACTATATTGGTTTTTAATAACTATTTGATCAAGTTGACCAAAATATTATAATAACTTTTTACTTTTGCAATCAAGACTGTTAAATGCTACCCATTGTTTGTTTATCCTTCTTTTTATGCAAAGTCATCACATGAATCAATTTTATCCTTGAGAACGAATATTTCAACAATGGCCTCAAACCATGAGGTCATGAGGTCATGAATTTGCTTTGGCTTAGTAATTATTTGATAAAGAAACCTGGCCCCTACTATCTCCAGAAATCACTGGCTCTTATTTTTATTAGCAATATTTACTTACTGCACTTTTTACATCTTCAAATCTTCCATAATGACAATCCCTCGTAAAATCTCTCACTTCTACAACTTGAAAGACAACAGCATTTACATAAAAGTCTAGTCTACAGGTCTCCAACAGACACCTTTCACTATTTTAATATTCTTCCATTTTCCATTTATCAGAATTTCTTTGATAAGTACTAATTCTTATGATTTACCTGCTGGCCACTCCATTTACCACTATTACTTTTCATTTTCTTCCTTTAATGAATGAGCCATATGATTTCACACTTCTGGAAGATATTCACAATAATCAACTTGTTGCTATTTGTATAAAATCCAGTTCCACACATTAAACAAAGACTTCTCCAGTTAGCTGCTCTGTCTTAACCTGAGCACATAAGTAATTACTCATCACTATGATATTTCTCATCCCTTACAGTTTCCTGTGCTCTAGCATTCTTTTCTTAGTCCTTCTTACTTAGAGTATCATTTTCAAATTCAAAGTCTTCAGGGTATGTAACTAACTCACTTGTCGGCACATTAAAAATAACGTTAGTGTTAAGCAACCAGCCCAGGCAATTCTCCATGGTTAGTATTTCTCATTAATGCCCTGAAAATTCTTTTATCTTTGACAGACTTTAGACTGTACAATTTACATTGTTCAATTTATTAGAACAGGGTTGTTTTTTTTTGTTTTTTTTTTTTAATAAACTCTCCTTTTCATGGTAGAGGACACCCACATTATAGACAAGCAAAAAACCTCAGAGATTCTCTGAGAATTAATATCAACTGAAGTAATATATAGCTATTGTAAAGATAAATAATAAACATATTTATAAAAGAGTAACTGAAATATTCTTAGTACAGAAAATTGTAAAATTAGCCTCTAGAGGCATATTATTTAGTTTGTCTGTTTATATTTTAAATAATCCACCAGGGGGAGTTCCAACAATGAAACAGAAATATTGACAACAAACATGAACTCTTGGAAAAAAAGAATTGAAATGCACAACTGCCATGATTTATAATTTCTGCCGAGCACTAAAACTTTCAGTCAAGCCTGTGACAAGTAGTGAGAGTTCAGTAACTATGGATTCATATTGAAGTTGAAAATTCTAGTGTTCCAAAACAATGACATAGGGGAGAATGAAACACAGCTACTTGATATTAAGTCTAATCTTCAATGGCTTGAGTATTTTTTAGTAAATATTGAAGTAAAATATATTTAACCTTGAGTTAGCTGTCAATATTTTTTTATGGCCACTTCAGTCATACAGACTTTTAAGTCCTGTTTCTTAGCACCATCAGTGTTAAGAGATAGATTTTCTAACTTTTTATCCCATAGAAAAGCCCCAAGAAATATTCACACAATTCTCTACAGCTTGCTCTTACTAATGTTTCCCTTCTGGAAGACACTTGGATTATACCATATTATTATATGCTCAACCCTGTAAAACACACCAGCTAAACAGGTTAACATCAGGTATGATGTTAATATGGCACTATTTTGAACAAATAATTTCAGGGGTTTCAAGCAAAGAAAAGAAATAAAATATGGAGAGTCATGAAGGAATATGCAATACCCTTAAAAAAACATTGAAACAATCTTAATAGGGTGATTTTATATGTGTTTGCCAGCTGGTATAAACAAGTGTTAATTTTAATGACTCTAATGAAATTATGTCCATTTACATTTCATTATTTTTTGCTACTCAAAATACTTTTTCAAGTACTAGATGTGATAATGATCTCAAAATCAAGTATGGCTATTTCCTTCTAAGAAGCAACTGATTAATCTTCTTTTGAAGCTTGTTTTAATTTTTGAAGTAGTCCAGAAGCAGTCATCTTCAGACAGGCTTTTGGAACTGCAATTCCCAAAGATTAGAAGTTATTTAAAGGAATCACTCAAACAAAAAGGATTTTTTTTCTTCTTCCCATCTTTCTTCCCTTCTTTCCTTTAATTTTTGAGCCATTCATCTTATTCTATAGAACAGTTGTTCTTTGCTGCTAGGCTGCAAGTACACTGGATGTCACAAATGTGCGGTTACATACAATGGGGATCATAAAGTAGTAAGACAAGCCTGATCATGAAAAAAGAAAAAGATCTCCAGATTCCAAATCCTCATGGGAGTGAGGATCAGCTATAATTGCTGATTGAAAAGAAGTCTTCTCTACCTAGGGGAATGCTGAATTGATAGAAGCTTCCCATTACCTAGAAAATGTCAATACATGCAACAATAATTAGTGCTTTCATTCCATGTCATCATTGATTACATTTTCAGAAAATTTGGGAAACATTTTTATGATTTTTGCATTTATACTGAAAGCAACATTGGTAACACAGGGATGCTTCTGCTATTGCTGAGAAGTCCTTACACAGCATCAAGCCCTTTATAATTATAATTACATTACATTGAAGCTGAAAAACATAATGCTATATAATATAGCTTATGTGTTATATATGTACATAATTATATATATACATATATATACACACTTATGAATGAATAGCATACCTGAATAGTGAAGCTAACATACATACATACATTGTCATTTCCAGTAATCCTTTTGGATTTCTCAATATTTACTGCCTTTCCAGCTTAATTTCTAATGTTTCAATTACATATTCTCTGTATGGAAGAGAATTGCTACTGACAAGTATTAAGGGTGTGTCTACTTTAAGTGACCACGAGGTGGAACCCATCATGGATGGAAAGAAAGTAAAGCATGGAAATCAAAGAGGAGGGAAGGAGGTAAAAAAGAAGGAAGGAAAGCAAGCAGCAAGCAGAGAGGACATGAAGGCAGGAAAGCAGGAAGAGAAAGAGGGAGGAGAGGAAAGGGGCATAGCTCCCTCATGTGGAAGGTGGAAGGTGAAGGGAAAGAGAGTAGAAGGAACAGAGGAAGGAACGAGAGAAGGACACAGGCAAAGTGAAAGAAATTAATGATATTGTGAAAATACAGGGAGAGCTCAGAAATGAAATTATGTAATTCATTATGGATAGCTACATTTCCAGGCCTAGCCTCCTGCATTTTACATGCTGGTCATGTAAAAATCACACCTTATTGTCGCTGTTTATTTTTGTTGTTTCTTTTTCAGAACAGGTTGTAAGAAAAAAAAGCAGATCCAATGTGTCTGAGAAGCTTAAAAGATTTACTTACACTTTTTTATTATTTTGAGATAAAAGTAGATAAATATTTGCTTCTGAATATTTAATACATATGTATAGAGTGCCCTTTTGTGTTCTTTTGTAGCTTGTGTTCTTTTGTAGCTATCTTGTGTTCTTTTGAAGCTATCATGTATTACAATGTCTTTAAAACCTCTAAGTCTAAATGAGTTACAAAAATGAAATAGTTTTTAAATTATATGTTTTCATGAGCAAAAAAAAAGAAAAAAAGTGTTTCTGGTAAGAATGTTTTCTAATCAATATCAGATGATCTGTTATTTCTTGGTGCCAGGAAAAAAAATCACCATGAACAGTTGTCAAGGAGGAAGGGGCAGGGAGAAAGACCATCAGACAGTGTGATGCTGCAAAGTTCCATTTAATAATTGAACCAAAGCAGTGGGTAAGCTGTGTCAGGAAAAACCTCACACTCCCACACATACAGCCCACACAGTTCCAGCTACCAATGCTAGCCCTAAATGTGAGTTGACACAGTGGAGCCTGGGGAAATGCAGTAATTTCTGCAACTCAGTGTTGGACGCCTGCATCACAATATGCCCCTTTCCTTGCATCAAAATATGCCCTTCTGGTCCTAGTCCCTGTTACTGAGGAGGTGTTACACAGGCCACAAGTAAAATCAGCCCATGCTGGTATGATGTAACTTTCTGGCAGCTTCAGGTTTTGCTCTTCTCTTGCTTGCTGACCCACAGCCTGTACCAAGGCTTATCATACTCTGGCTGTTAGAGTGAGTTGTATTGTCATTGTATTGTCAGCTATGGCTCATTGTATCCAGTCACCCAAGTCTTTATTAAGGTTGTGATGTTTCCACCACAGAAAAAACTTCCTGAAAGTTTGCAATACCACTGGGAGAGTGAGAACATACACTCTTTTGTTCCTCTGCCTCCAGTCTAGGAAGAAATACTTGCAGGTGATGTTTTTCTCTCAGTATCACTGTATTAATGTTCTCTAACATCTTTCATTATTGTATTGAATGGTTTCAGTACATTGTAAAGCCTCGGTTTCTTATATTGCTTCAGGAAAGACCAGGGCTAACCCCTAATCTGAAGTGTTATCTTTTTTTTTTGGTCTGTTTTGTTTTCTTTTTCCTCAGTACTGGAAGCATGAAAAACCATAACATTCCTTGAGATTTCATTGGCCTTTTTTTGTATGACTGCAGATTCTTTCTTAGTCAACAGAGAAGTTACAGGTCTGCCCTGCATTGTACTGAACACATTATTTCCAGATAAGATCAGACTGAGTATTTTCAAGCCGTTTTAACAACAGGAGATACTGATTATTTCAGAAAGCAGAGCAATGAATAGGGAAAAGAATCTTGGTGATGCAGTTTCTACAGAGTAAAATTTCTACTGGTCATATACTGTTCTGTTTGCTTCAACCATAGTCCAAAGACTAAGATTCTCTTTTCTATCATGTCTCATTCCTGTATCTTTCCTTCTTCTGTTTTTCCTGACAGAGTTCCCCATACTAGTACTGTTGAATCACCCTGTCCAATGTTAGCTCTTTTTCACCTCCCACCAGCTACATATTCCAATTAGACTATATTCTTTGTTGTCTGAAATACCCACAGAAAGCAATAGTGAGTCTTCTTTTGAGCCTAAGGGACCAGTTCTCAATGTTTAAGTGTTTGGAATAGCAGAGAGAAAATGCATTTAAAGCTTATGTCATGCTTTCTTGGTACCCCTGAACTGGAAATTCAATACATACTACATTTTCAGAGAATTTAGCCATCAATTAATTTTCTACACTCACAGTCTAAGAATTCATGTGGGGCTTTTATTTACCCACCCTTGAATACTTTCATGAAAACAAAGAAAGAATGCTTATCCCCAGTACTGGAACACATCCTTTAACCTTACCAAAGACATTAAAAAATGACAGGTATTTGATTTTACACTGGCATGCAGACTCAAAGGTTTGAATTTACAGCTACAAAATTCAGCTGCTTTGTTTCTCATCTTCATTTGTTTTCCATGAATGACAAGAAAATCCTGCAGGATTCACTGTCTTTGGAGTGCTTTTTTAGTTTGATATTTGCAGTTCTGTGCATACTGAAACAGATTCATTCTGATTCTAGGCATTCACCAAAGGTTAGGTTAAGTCTGCTTGCCCTGAGATACCTCTAAGAATAGTAGTTTATTGCTGCCTACAGTTCAGTCAGATAAAGCAGGATTTATAAATGATATATGTTTCACTAGAGAGATTGAGATGTAGATCTGCTGACCCCACAAACAATTACCATATGAAGAAGGAGAGACCTATCAGGGTACCCTTAGTATGCAAATATATGCCTAAAGCATAGAAGGCATTAGTTCAATGGGATATTAATATTGCTGCTAAATATTCAGTTTTCCGGAACTAGAATAAACTTGAAAAACAAATTAAAAGTATAGGAACAGTTGAGACTTGTGTATAATGTAAAAATGTTATTCAGTTGAGAGCACTTCTTTTCAGAGCAGTCCTCTCTAGGAATAATACAGAATTCTGAAATACTAACCTTTTTAATATAGCATCTAGGCAACCAAATTAAAGTTCCTGATGATTGTGAAGCCATCAAATTGTGATTAAAGCACTATAAGTTATTTCCTTAACTATTTTCCTGTAGATTTCACAGTATTTTTCTACCAGCAGTTGTCTTTTCCATTTTCTGTTAATTATCTTGCTGTCCATATGCTAGTTCTTGAAATGCTCTTACCTTCCTCTCCTCCAACTGTGTCTTGATGGAGTGGTACTGTAATATGCTATGTCACAGCTCTACTAAGGAGAACTTAAAATGAAAGCAGCACACTGTGCTAAGTGCTGATTATTGCTTTCAAACAAGAATCTTAAAAATATTGAAAGTGTGAAAGGTGATCTATAAAGAACAATCTTTCTCAAAAAAAAACAAAAGAAAAAAGAAATTTGGAGTAGAAGTCATAATAATTGCAATAATAGTTTATATTAAAAAAATACTGAAATATTTTAAGAAAGTCATCCTATCAAGAGAAATAAAAGAATAAATTTTGTGGTTCAATTTAAAGTAGCAAGGATTTTGTCATTCTTGCTTGTGTTTGCACTGTTGAAATTGTTCACTTTTGTGTATCGCTAGCATGGCTATAAAGGGGCAAAATAGAGAAAATTCTGAACCTCAAAAAATAAACTTTCCAGTCAGGCATAATTGATACTGGATTATAAATTCCAATTTTTTTTTCATTTTAAGTTCTGTTTCTCTGGTAATATTATTTATTTCAATTATTCTTGTGTCTTTGGAGTATTTTCAACTTAATTTTTCTTATCCAAGGGAAGAGGAAGAGGGATATAATATCCTTCCTCTAGAGACAGGAAGGATATTATTAAAAAAACAACCTTTAAACAGAGTATTGGAATAACAGCTTTAAAAATCAGAATTTAACTAGTCAAGTGAATGGACCTGTTTTCTTTAAAATTAGCATTCTATGTAGATCAAGGAAGCATTTTAAATAAAGATATAATTAAACTTTTTATTCCAAGCTAGTACACTGAGCATAAAAAACAAAAAATTGCAGAATGTTTTAAAATTTCAGTGTGTTACTGTTAACTTGTTGCTAACATGTTACCAATACCTTACTGCTAACAAAAGTCAATTAAATGGTAGCTCCGGGAAACCCATCTGTTGTGCATTGTTTGAAAAGTAAAATTAAGAAAAAAATCTGAACTTTTGCTTCATGTCATCCCTGGATACATAGCTCAGAGTTAACCACTGAAAACATACAGGAGATATATTTATTAGCCTTACAGAATAATTTTCCTTCAAAGTAACCTCAGGTAGTCACAGTCTCTGCTCAGAGCATGTCTTAACTAGGTCAGGTCACTCAGCAACATTTTCAGTCATGTCTTGAATGCCTCCAAGAACAGATCCCAAAAATTCCAGTGGTTGTTACTTTCCTAGTGTTTAAATACTCCCAATGTTCTAAAACAATAATCTTAATATCCAATTAGGATTTTTCATATCCTAATTTACTAGGTAAATTTGGTCTGTTTCCTATTATTCTGCACCCTCAACAACAGTCTGGACCTTGTCTGCATCCCCCAAATCATGTAGTTGCAGGGAGCTCTAAAGTCTCTCTCAGTACACCAGATTCACAAGCCCAGCTTCCTCAGACTTCCCTTCCAGCATCCAGTCAGCACGGTGACTTCCCCTGGACTAACTCCATTATATCCATCTCTCTTTTGTACTGAGGAATACAAAAGGAGACACAACACTTTGTAGTTGGTCTCATGGGTGCCAAATAGGGAAGAATCACCTTCAGCTTTCTCACTCTCACTGATACACCCCAGGATGCTGATGGCCTTCTTGCAGAAAGGGTGCATTGCTGGTTTACTCTCAACTTGGTGTCCTTTTCTGCAGGGCTGTTTCCTAGACAGCTGCTCCCCAGTCTCTAGCAGTGCATGGGGTTTTTTGTCCCTAGATTGCAGGAGATTGCATTTCCCTTTGCTGAACTTCATGATGTTTTTCACTTTTGGGACCGGCCTTCTTAATACCTTTATTAGTGATCTGGATGAGGGAATCAAATGCATCCTGTGTAAATTTGCAGGAAACAACATGTTGGGCAGGAGTATCATCTGCTGAAGGGTAGAAAAGCTCTGCAAAGGGATTGGAAAGGCTGGATTGATGGGCAAGGCCCATGGTGTGAGGCTCAACATGGCAAAGTGCACTTGGGTCACAACAACCCTGTGCAACACTGTAGGCTTGGGGATGAGTGGCCATAAAGCAAAAAAAGCTAGTGAAGGGTCTGGAACATAAATCCTCTTGGGGTGGCTGAGGTTACTGAGGTGATTTAGCCTGGTGAAAAGAAGGTTCAGGAGAGACTATATTGCTCTCTGCAACTGCTTGAATGGAGCTTGTGTTGAAGTGGGGTTTGGCATCTTGTCCCATGCAATGAGAGACAGGACAAGGGGAGGGCAACTACCTCAAGCAGCACAAAGGGAGGTTGGTTCAGGTTGGATATCAAGAAAAATTTCTTCACTGAAAGAGTGTTGGCGCATTGGAACAGGCTCTCCAATGAACTGGTGAAGTCACTATCCCTGGAGATATTAAAAAAATAAGTAGAAGTGGCACTTTGTGACATGGTTTAGAGGGTATGGTATTTATGCAAAGACGGGACTTGATCTTGGAGGTCATTTCCAACCTTAATGATTCTGTGATGCTGTGCTTTCAGCCCACTGCATTAGCATGCCCTCTAAATAGTAGCCTTGTTCTCAAACACCTCCTCCTGCCAGTTTGATGGCACCTGCAAACTTGCTGAGAGAGAACTCCATCCTATCAGCTAATAATACTGAAGTTGCTAGACAGTGTTGGACCCCAAAATTATCCCTGAGGAACATCATTATTTGCTCATCACCAGCTGGACTTTTTACTACATATTACAGGTCTCTGGACCTCTCTGTCCAGTCAGCTTTCCATCCATCTCATTTTCTGTCTATCCATAAGCCACCAATGTGGTGATAAAGAGGTTAAAGTGGTGAAAACAAAGTACAGTTTGAAGATAAAATAACTGTTATCTGATCAGTATCTATTGAGCAGCATGTGGTCAGGTATATTAGAAAGCAACCTTATGACCCTGTACATATATCATTTTAATCAGCCAGGGTTAAGGGTTAATTGTTGCAGCAGCCAAGAGAAGGAGTAGCTAGGACCTGGAGGTTATTCTATACCACCTCATACCATTTTCCAGGGACTTGGGAAAAGCTCCCTTCCAGGTCAGCCAGTGTGGTAGACAAAGCAGTTGAGTATTGTTGTGGGGTTTCCCCATGGTGAACATATGAATCACTTGCCTCATTCTTGTACTTTGTCATTTTCATACTATTGTTGCTGCTGCTGTTCCTTTTCCTATCTCATTGCTGTTTCCTGAAAATTGTTCTTATCTCAACCTTTGATCTTCACCTTTTGTGCCTCCAGTTCACCTCTCCAGTCCTGCTGCAGGGGGAGGGGGAGAGAAAGGGGAAGGGAGTGAGCAGTGCATGGTTTGGAGTGATTTAGTGGGAACACTAAATTGACGAATGTTACTCCTTACCATGACTCTAAAGAACTATTAAATTTAAATTACAATACTAGAGAGTTTTCTTGCCACACTTGTTGTCTGACTTTAGTTAAAGCTATACTAAAACTAACACTGAAATAAACCCCTGATGTCCTAATGTACAACTACAACTAATTAATGACTGTTGTGACCATTTATCAATATATCAAAAATATTTTTCTTAATTTGAATATGGAGTAACATTACAATGTTTCAATATGCTTCAGGATAAACTGTTGTAAATGGAAAGGAAAGGTTTTACATATCATTCCTCCCCCACTCCAGCCCAACAGGTTTTAACCTGTTGTGAAATTTTGTAACCTAGATAATAAACATAACTAATAAAATGATCACTGAAGCTCTTCGCCATAAAAAAAATCATTAAAAATCTGCATAAGGCATACACTTCAACTAAATGAAACGGCTTCCCCATCTGCAGTACAATCAGAATTCTCAGTAAATTAAAGAGCCCATATAGAGTCAGCACATGTCACTGAGATACTTACGTGCTCATAATTAAGATTGAATAATGTTTTGTTGTGCTGGGACTAATGACCCTTGCAGTGCAAAGCACAGAACTGCATCTCTGAGAAGCTAAACACCTCTTACCACTTCATTCAAAGCACTTGCAAACATTCTGCACCTCCCAGGCTTGGAACTGTAACATATGTTAGGGTCCTTTATATTGCTAACATTAGGAGTGGGTTACAGATACATCAATCACTTTATTCATTCATGTTCTTCTGGTCAAGGAATTTTTACTTAGGGCCATTCTTCTGCTCAGTGCATCAAAGTAATTTGAAGATTTTACAAGTTTATGTTTAGCAATTCATTTTGAAATATGATGAAATAAAAATAAGGGACAAGATCTATCATTTCAACTCTCAAACTGCAGTTTCAAGATTCAAAATGATCACTGAGGCATAAGTGAAGTTTCCTAAGAGGTGAAGCACTGAGAGATTAAATAGCTATATCTATGAGGTATTTCAATTTTCTGTTTGAAGCAATCAGGTTTAAGTAAAATGGCATGTAATGAGATGAGGAATCTGGTACTATATCTTGGAAGGTAACACTCAATTTCTAAACATCACTTATACATTATAACACAAGCAGAACCATGGCCTTTACTGGGAGAAAGAAAGCATTTGTATTCAAAACCATACCAAGTATGAGTATTTTTTTTAGTATTTTTCCAGGCTTTTAAACCAAACTGCAATTATCTTTTAAGGAAAAATATGACATACTTTTCCTCTTTCGATATTTACCAGTGCACCAAAGTAGTTGTTGTAAGAAGGGCTAATGGTACATTAAAGCCACAGAGCCTATTAATCTAGTATGGTCTATTACAAACCTTCACCAATAAATACACAGTGGTTCAAATTAGAGCATATTTGAAAACATCTTCTATTCTAAAAATAGTTGCATCCCAATGAGGTGGCCATCACAATTTTGAATTATACTTTACTCTGTTTTCTAAAGAGACAGGTAAGTCCATACAGTATGGCTGAAATTTCTGACAAGTATGACAAGCTGATAAATTGCAGATTTTGGAGGTTATCTTCCCTATATATGAAGCCCCTTATACCTAGAATAAAGAACTGTCACTAAAAATGCTTGCTTGAAGAAATAATTTGCTTCAGCTTATTAATATGTTTCATTTTGCTGTTTTAATGGATTTTTTTTTTAAGACATCACACATGCATTTAATTCTACAATCATTTAACTTAACTCTGGCAATAAACTAGGAATTTAAACTTATCAGACATATGCTTCTGCAGATTGAAAGCTTTCAGAAACTGACAAGCTAGTTACAATCCAGATTGCAATTAAGAAGTACAGAAGTCTTAAATCAAGAGACATGGATATTTATGCTGCCATTTAAATTAGCAGATCCATTAAAAATAATTTAAAAAATAAAAGATCACACCATGAAACACTGGTAGGGCATGTTCATACCTCAGAAATAAAACAAACTACATTAAATATGATGTGCCTAAAAAAGAAACCAATGAGAATTTACATTTTTTTTCTCTTATTAAATTCTTCACTGCAAAGCTTTCACTTAAAATGAAAGCCATCCAAGTTCCAGTTCAAAAAAGTACAGGGAACACAATCACAGAAATCTCCAACATTCATTGTTCACCAAATTTTTATAAAATCTACCTTCCTCTTTTCTTCCACCAATCTCATATTTTGCTATATGACAAATGTATTTTGTAGGATTTTTCAAATGTTATCTGGTTTTCCTTTGCTGCTTTTCTTATCTTAATTTCCTCACTTTCTCACCTCTTCTGTGAACACATTTACTCTTCCTTGCTTAGATTTTTAATTTCAAATTAATTATTTGATATTTGACACTTAAGACTCCCCCAGTAAACATCAGGGATATTATACTTCTGCCCATGGAAAGACATATAAAACTTTATAGTTAACAAATTTTATTTATAGTAGATAGGACATACCTGCAAGCACTATGCAATTAAAAATTTGTATTCTTTGTTTCCACAGATTTCCTGGTTTAGGAAAATAGAAGTTATTCAGTGTGACAGAAAACATGTCTGAAATTACAAATCTCCTGTCAACAGGATTCTTAAATTAATCGGTCTGCTCTTTGAAGCTTTTTCTTCTTCAGTATAAAGAAGTTTATGAGCTCAAATGTCTTGCCCTCATAACATGTTATGTGAAAGCACAAAGCAACTTATATAACAACAGTGTAATTTAGAACTTATATCACGTCTGAGACTAGGCAAGAAGATTACTTTGAAAAATGAAGACTTAAACATTTATGGAGATTCAATGAAGCAAAATATTTATTGAAATATATTGATTTTCATTAGAATGCTATTGTGAAGAAAATTGTGACTTTCTACTTAAAAGTAATTGGTGGGGAAAAGTTGTATAACATTTGACAGGTATAATTCAGGCAGAGAGCTATTGTTTTATTACTTGTTTTTTTCAGATGAATAAATGAATATTTAATTGCAACTATGTAGCTAGCTAAGAAGAAAAATTATTCAAAGATTAGATTTAACTCGAGTCATATCTCAAAATTATTGCACAATCATATAAGCCATGCCTGTAAATCTCTTTTTGCAAGATTATTTTGAAACTTTGTCTTACTCACCATTCCTACACCAGTTCTACAACAGTAGTCCTACACCAGTATAGAACTATTGTTTCTTTGAGATTTTTATCTCAAGCAAACAACTGCACAAGATTCCAGAGTTAAGGGAGTACTTTTACTTCCTATTCACAACAAGCTTTTGCAACAACACTATGGAAGAAGATTCACAGAGCTAGAATTTGAGATGCACCACTTTGAACTCTTAAGAGCACCCTGAAAAGCTTTAAAGAAAGGACCTTGAAGTTCTCTGGAAAGCAAGAGAACTGTTTTTTTAAGGAAACAGTGTATTTTCCATCCTTTTTTTAGCCAGCACTTCTCCTCAAGTCCTCTGCAGAAGACTGCAGGAGTTTGCTAACAAACTCCCTCTTGCCCTACTTTATGTTTGCCTTCATCACAGCTCATACTACTGTCCTGAAGTCTGAAGGAAAAAATAATGCATTCTGTCACCTCAGAGACTATGCATCTGCTCTTTGCCTGTGCTCCTCACTTTCCTCCCCTCTCTTCATAATTCCAGGTCTCTGGTGTTCCTCTAGCAAACTCCTCAGGGTATCTTATTTGAACAGTGTAAGTTTTCCCTGATTGTGGATCTATGTAGAACTAATCACTTTTCTCTTATGTAGATTCTCTTTGCCTGAAAATGGTGTACTGAAGATAGGCAATGAGGCACTCCTTCCCCACTCACAACTGGTTTTCCACACACATTAACACAAAGCAGTAAATCAAATAGATGTGAGATGATTCATATCTAAATGAAGTAACACAAAGCCTGTGAAAATATCACACACTATGAAGCTTATCCTTTAGGGTTATGTTTTCACTGGGTCAGAAAAAAATACTGCCATTTCATGGTGATTATCTCTTTTTCTTGCAAAGAGAAAACATGACTTGTATATGCTTGCAAGTGCCCTTGAAGGTAAATCAGAGCTTGTTTATTAATTACAACTGACTTCCTTTATGATCTGCCATCTTTTGTTGGTGATTTTTCCATTACACATAATAGAGATTTTACATCTCAGCATTAAAATAATAATTATATACCAAATATCTGAGACATGGCACAGATCATTGTGAACTTTGATACCTTAGATATGTATGAATCACAAGTCTTCAAATGTACTATAATGAGTAATTTCACTTCCCCAAAAATATTTCAATAAGTTCTTTTAAAGAATCACAAGCAGTTTTAAAATTTTTGAAATCAAAGTTTTTCTCTATTTTTTCATGTTCATACAACAAAACAAACTGAAAATATGAAAGTAATATATAAATCTAAGAAATATATTGATAAAAAGGTTGTATTTTTTCAAAACACGTGTTCAATCCTAGTACAATTTCATTCAAAAGAAGATCATATGAATGCTGCTCTGACAGTTTATTTCTCTCTACTAACAGACCAAGGTTTACCTGACTAGCTTGGACCTGTAATACAGAGAAATCACAGAACTCACTCCAGAAGTGTAACATGGGTATACCACCTGAACTATAGCAGCAAAAACCACAGTTAAACCCGTGAATTATAATGTGTTATTAGCTACAGAAAAGAATAAATAAAATAAAGACATAAATGCTGAACAAGAGAATGAGATTCATTGAAATGTGCTCTATTACTTCAATAATGATTTCAGTAGAAATCTAAAAGGATCATTATTTCTAATAAATTATATATAATACAATCCTTATGTAAGTTTAATTTCATGAGCCAGATGTTTTTAATTTGGTCAAACTTTAAAAAGTCAAATGGCTACCAATATGATTTAATTTCTGAATAAGTAGCATATTTCTTCTTCATTGATTCTGGTTAAATTTTGACATAAATCCCATACCTATTCTGTCACATAAATGTAGAAAAATATTAAATATTACCAGATAAAATTCCTTATTTCTAGAACTTCCTGTCTTAATCTACTTCACAGAGGGCTAAAAGGATGACCAAATTCTTGGCAAAAAAACCCAAACCAACTACCCAACAAAACTTCCCTTCATAGTGTTCCCATGCAGAACAATCACAATTACAAAGCTTCCTTAAAGCTAAATTAAATTATTAAAGAGTGTTATAATGATTTACATATACTTTACTATTATCACCTGTATGAGATCATGCATCTAAATCAGTTATATACAGTTCTGACCCAGCAAACAGTGCACCCATCATAGAAGGACAATTGTCATAACTTCACTGAAATTCTTAGGAATCACCACTTCAGTGGTTTTCACTTAAGAAATAAAGTTTCATAAAAATACTGAATATAATATAGAAAAATTTCAAAACAAAAACTAACAATATATTTTTACTTGTTGAGGATATATAGGACTCACAAGATTCAAATTTAGATATTCCAGAACTGCCTTACCATGGTGTAGTTGTGAGCCACCTTCATAAGCTCTGTGCACCCTTGTGCATCGGCAAATGCTCGTATTCCCAAGCAGTTGGATGGGTGCAAAAGCTTCATCAGAAAATGGCAGCAAACCTCTACTACTTGGGGGAGCTGGAGAAGGCAGGCAGCTGCTAGGAGGTTTTCAATGGTGTCTTCTTTTAATTCCAGGCAGCCTAAAAAAAAGTATTGATAACAAATTTAAATTTATTGACTTCATATTTACAAAACATAGAGTATCGAAAAAATGTTTTTATAAATAATCACAGCTCTATATAAATAACTCTACAGAAAAAGTGAATAAAAGAAAGATTAATCTCCCTGACTGAACACTCCAGTGTCCTGGAAATTACAGTATTAGAAATATTTATTTTTCAACTACTATTAATTCAACTATATAACAAGCATAAAAAAAAGAGAGTGTACTGTATCAAATGGAAGAGAAGACTTGGAATATCTCAATATCAACCAGGCTGTGGATGGTTTTTTGTTGGCTTTCTTTTCTTTTTCTCATTGAAATTTGTGATAAAACTTATCTTATTTTCAGTGGCACAGAGCAAACCTCACAGCCATTTACTTCGCTGAAAAGAATGAAATAACTGCCTAGTATAGTATGAATAAACCCATAAATACATCTTCAAAACAAGGCTTAACAGTCTTCAAACGTAGTGTTGCTTATTTGTAATGTAACTTTAGGATTAATGTTATCTGAGTAACATATGGCAGGCTCCTCATAACACACAGTTCCTCCAAAATAATTTATATTAGGGAAAAAAAACATTAATTAATACTTATATTGCACTTAATTCTGTAATTTCATAAGTCATTATCTTTACCTTGCACTGACACATTTTTAATAAATAAAAGTTAAAATATAATAAAATAAACTTTAAAAATAAGTTATTTTAGGCTGGTGTGGATTCTCTGCTTGCTTTTTCTACCTCTGTTGGGGTCAGGATTGAAGGCATTTGAAAGGATAGTTAACGTTCAGACTTAGGTGTTTACTGTTTCTTATCAATGTTACAGTCTCACGACCATGAGTTCTGCAGTCTTTCATTAGGAAGGCACAAAGTGGCTATCTCTTTTTGTAAGGGGTTTTAAGGTTAAATTATCCAATTAAGAAATGAAACCTAAATTATTTTCCCTTTTAACCCAATAACTGATTAATTGAAAAGCCCTCACAATGAGAGCTTTTCTGTCCAATTAAAAAATACCACCCAAACCCATGAAGAAGGAAAAAGAAGGTAAAGAAGAGCAACCTGCCTCCGCCCTAAAACCTCCATCTTGCTTCATAATTGTTTCTATATTCTAGAACGCCAAACTCTAAATTTTCCATCCTGTGATATTACACACGTCTAAACAACTACACACCTGTAATCCCAGCACTATTAATCAATTTTGGAAGCCTTCTTCGCAGTCTCAGGTCAAATGCAGTGCTCCCTTGTGGATCTGTGCCTCTCAGCACAGAAAGTTTAAAATTCTCAACATCCAGAGTTCCACCAGCTGGAATATGTAATTCTTGTCATAATGCTTCTCCCAAACATAATATTAAATTTTATTTTTACATTAGAATCTTAACAATCTATGACTTAAAATAACTTTAAAAACTGCAAACAAAGTATTTGAAGGATGTTTTGGAAAAGTGAAAAAAAAGATTGGGAAATTAAAATGTGCAAATTTAATACAAATTGTTAAAAAATACTTTTGATTTTATTTTGCTGTGCTTGGAAAAATAATTTTGAACTATAAGAGGATTAAGTGTATATTGATCTTTCTCTTAAAAGTATTACAGTTCAACACCTAGATAAACTGACTCTTTTCCCCACACAGGGTTTGTACTCAATGTCACATTAAGAAAAATCTAAAAATCTTAATAATTCTATTGCATGGCATTAAGAAGTTATAAAATCCTCAATTCCACAATAGCATGCCATTGCAAAGAAAAGATGTTTTATATTGCAATACCAAATTCAAAATACAGTAACATTAACACTGCACATCTGCTCTTTTCTCCTTTCAGTATATCTGGAGCTTTTAATATGAGAGGGAAATTGTGAAGATATACTTTACTAGATTTAGTTATAATACACCCTTTTGCAAAGGTCAGAGCATCAGATCAAGCACACAGCCTAATTTCAGTGGGTTTTCTCTCCTTATTTTTATTCTTTTATTAATGTCATATGAATTTTTCTTTATGTTATCTAACCTTTTCTCACAATTTCTGTACACCACATCTTTATGCTATGTGGTCAGAAGGCACACGTAGCAGCAGATTCTTGGCTGATCCACATATTCATCAATGAAACTCCCACATTTGCTGTATGCCTGCAAGTAATTGCTGGCTCAACATACAAGTCTGGAAGAATTGCACTGTGCAAAATGGAAGCATTCAAAAGAGAGTTGTTTTCAGGTTAAAACTGATCATCCTTGTAACAGAAGTGAAAAAATTTAAAATGTGCAAAACACCTTGGAAAATTGGATGAACTGAGAAATGAAAAAAAAAAAAAAGGAATTCTAAATCTCCTTTGCTTAGATGCTATTTCTTTTTTTCAATGATGAGCTCAAAAAAAGTCTGTAGCCCTACAAAACTTATCCAAGTAGCATTTGCAAAGTGATGTTACGTATAGAAAGAATCACTTTCAAAATCCTAACTTTATGAGGAAAGGTAACAGTCTCATGATTTGGCCTTTTTATGGCTAAAGGTAGCTACCCTTAGGAGAAGAACCTGAAGGAATCAGTTGAAACTGCATCAATCTATTTGTTTTCAAATGGAGATATTTTCTGTTCACTTTAAGGTACACTAGTCCTGGTACAGTATTAGTTGGAAAATAGTAGGACTAAAGTAAGTTTAAATCAATAAAAAATATTATCTTTTTTATGAATCATCTATTTCTTTATGTAACTAACATGGAAATTTTGAAGAAGATGCTTCACACTTTTATAGAAGAGTGTGAACACATTTCTGCTTTACATTTTAATAGAGGAAGTAAAAATACAATGGCTTCTGGGATATCTAGGGATATGAATATATTATAGCTTGACTTATTTTCAACAAAACTCATAAATACTAATTTACTACTTAATAGATCTATGATAAAAGTTAGAAAAGTACACGCCATATGAGTTAGAGTTATTATTTGTTCTTCATTCTTTTAGCTTCAATGATAGATAGGTTTTTAATCCATCTAAATATCTTCCAAATCTTACTAATCTTCTTTTTTAAACATCAAGACTCCTTCAGAAATTTGTTCACAAAGTCTGTATTCCCTTTTTCAGAAGAGTGCTATGATATTTTTATTCAAATTCCAATGGCATATCAAGTATTTAGCATGGTCAGAGTTTGATAAAAGAAAGCTGTTAAGGGGCTCTGTATATGACACATGAAATCTTCAGACAGTTTCATATTGGCAATTAGAAGATCCAAGCATCTATTTAAAAATGTTTAATGGGATATTCAAGGGGCATTAATATTACTGCTTCTTCAATTTACCTCCCCCTCACATTTTTATGCAATAAAAGCTTGAACAAGTGCCTTAGTCTGAGAAAAACAAATTAACTAAAGCTTAAAATCTCCTTTTGTATTACATTAATTAAGATGAAAAAATAAGAGGAAAAAACAATCAGAAGAACTTTAATGAATTCTAATTGTTATTCTAAATTATAGCTGTATTTGTGAAAAATTTTGTGGGCATTGCTTATGCAGAAATTAAAATGCCTGTCTTTAGCAGGCATTCTCACAATGACTACATAAATTTTATTGCCTCATTACCAAATGTAAAGCAGAGATAATATAAGAATTCTCTGAGATTCTTGTTCTGTTGCTAAACCTTTTCCAAAGCTCAGGGACAGTTTTGTGTTGGGGTTGGTTTGTGGGTTTGTTGGTTTGTTTTTTGGATTTTTTTTTGTTTGTTTGGGTTTTTTTGGGTTGGTTTCGAGGTTCTTGTGTTTGTTTTTTGTTTTGGGTTGGTTTTTTTTTTGTTTTTTTTTTTTTTCTTTTATTCTCTCTTCTACAATATTGACTATACTTTAGAGCTATTTTTGTTTACAAGAAACTGCTGCACCTTGTCCCACCTTTGTATGCTGTTAAATAAGGTCAGTGTGTATCACAGGAACAGCCTCCCACACCTATTGACCAACAGATTGAACCTGTGGTGGGACAACTCAGTAGGTACAGATCATTTCTTCTGTGTATAAGCAATGAATTTTAATTTGTAACATATCATGATATCATTTTACATCATGTGTACAGTAGTTTTTTCTCCTCTTTTGTAATTATACACTTAACCCATTCATAGCAAGACTCCTCAACATTCCTAAGAGTTCTGTGTGTAGGAAATCATGTGAAGTGTCAAGGAATTAGAAACAAACACTAAAACTAATTCCCTTTAATCAGGTATTTATCTTGTTAATCTTCCTATTTCGTGTATCTTGATCAGTTGTGTGGCATCTTTAATACATTGCTGAATGGAATTACTTCTGTAGGCTAATCAGTTTTAGGAGGTCTAATTTATTTTTTTTTAAAAGGCAGCAAACAGCATAGTAGATTAATTGACTACAATAAGAAATTGCTTTCTTGAAACAGCATCTAATTCCATTGAAGACTTGAAAAAGGTTATTAGAAAGGTGCTATGCCTCACATTGCTATAATAAACCCTTTTGCCATTGCTTATCTTAATCATTCCAAATGTTAGGTACTTTTAGGTAGCCACCTGACCTAATCACCCAAGATATCCTTTTACAGTTCACGGAGAGAAATAGGAGGTCTTAGAGCAGTTTTCACCTGTTTTTTTTTCTGTCATGTACTACAGAATGAGATTAATCACTCCCTAAATGGCTATTTCTTGATTTCAGCTACAAAAGGAGCACCTTCATTTGACTTACTGAGACACTACTGATATTCATATTTGTTGATATGAATTCACTTCCTCTGCTCCCAAACACAGCACTGGAATCATTAGAGCCATCAGGTTTCAGGTGATGAAACACTCTGGGTTCAATTCTGATGATCAGCTGTCTCAGTTATGGTCAATTCCTGGCAGTGACATAGTGTGTAAAATCGTCTCTTAGGTCTATCCCTGAACACCAGTCAATGAAGAATGCTATAAAAAGTATCTTTTGTGTAGCAGAACATCTTTTAGCCTCCAGTTTGACCTATGCCTTAAAAGATAAATTCTAC